ATGCAGTTTCCATTATTTTTCGACATGTAATAAAGGTCAGCAGTTACCTTTATGGCGATACGGTCCTAGTACTCTCTCGCTCTATTTTCACATTTTTGCAATTCAATTGCAAAGTTTGCAAACGGTTGAAAGACCATGACTCAGGAGAAGTGAGAGCTGATAAAAAAAAATCGGTACAACATTACCATTGCAGTAGATCCATAGAAAAGAAGTAGATCCATATGTGCAGTTAGTTTTCTACAGAGAATTCATTCGTTCCATTCTTCTTCGACAACATTTTTTTGTGTGTGTGTCTTCTTCTTTCTTGTGCGAGCTTCGTTCGGTGTGTGTGTTTGTTTGTTCAATTCTCATTTTCCGTGTGCATCTCGCTCATTTACACCGATAAATCTATTTCGGTTCCACTTCGCACACGTTATGTACTTGGATGTTTTCAATTTATTTACGCTGCGCTGGATATAGCCTTTTTTCGTTCTATTTTTTTTTTCGTTTCATTCAAAGGCTTCAGAGTGTTCTTGCTTCTATCTCTCATTTGGTTTAAGCTTTTGTTATGAGCTGAATATGAGCACTATTTTTTTCGCTCTTGCCAACCGACAATAACGCAAAAGGTTTAATTTTCACATTGTACAATCCTATGAGTTATAACATTTTATCATTGCTCTTGTAATGGCCAATTTATTTTAACAATACATAGACTTTAATTCGAGTAAGCGCTCGACTACAACGATATTAGTATATGTTTTACACGCAAATCTGTTTGTCTCGCTTCCATAAATTCGGTCGAGTTGTGCGAGTGCCAAGCGAATTATTTTCAAAAGCATTCCATACATTTTTCGGATGCCGTGGCTGTGAGTTTTTTTTTATTTCACTGCTTCACTATACTACGCTGAACCGTCTTCTTCTTCGTTTTCATTTTCACGCGCGTGTTTGCGGTTTTTTCCTTTCAAACATTTTGTTCGGCGCTCATGTTTACTTTGTGTGTGCAGGGCGCGTGCATTTCAAAAGCATTTCTCGGATAAGACGTTCGGTGCCACATCAACTGTTGGGGAAATAAAGCACAAGAAACGAGCATCGAAGCAAAACTTTGTGGCAAACAAGAGTCTATAATAACGAGCAACTTTGATGCGAAGATATTATTTGGAAGCAAAGAAAAACAATTGTTTGTAATATTGTTAAATTGATGGTGTTACCGCGTTCTCACTCTCTTGCCCCACTATCCCTCCACTTACTTTGTTCAGATTTTTTACTTTTTCCCCGTCACCATTCCATTTATTATTTGCTCACAACCGTACGCACACAATGTAAGGTGGTGGTGTGTTGTTTTTATTGAGATTCCGCACAGCATAATAAGTGGTGAACGAAGTTGTAGTTAAAGAATTTATTTGCACCACAAACAATTCAAATATATTTCGTTGTGAATGGCATTTCATGAAATTCTCCGGCATCAAATGAAGTGTGTAAATGCAAGTGAGTCTAATTGAATCTGAATCATAAAAACTTCAATAACAATAAATAAAATGATGGATTTGACCACACAACAACATCATAATGAAATAAAAGAACAACTTTGATACGCTGCACCAGTGAAATGCTGGAAATCTCATCACTTAATAGGGTGCACTCTCAGCGTTTGTCCTTTTTTAACTGCCTGACTGGCTGCTAAACAATTAAACAATTTCGAATGAATCAAGTCAATTGCATTTTAAAATGTTTACCAAACATTTTGGTTATGCGCAGACAATTCTGGGTCAAAATGTTGTCGTTGTACATGGAAACCGAATTTTATGACATAACAAATGATCCAACAATTTGATTTCTCAAAAGCGAATTCTCATTATTGTTGAATTGTATGCAATTTTGGTTCAGAATATTCTCAGAAAATATGAACACCTGAAGGTGCAAAATGGGTTACAGTTGGTTAGCAAATCTTGTTCGAATTTCGTCATTTGCGTCGACAATTCACGCAATACAATGTCTTGTTTATTAAATGGATCTTTAATTAAACAATGTAGAATTGCTGACCATAACTGACCATAACTGACCATAACTGACCATAATGTATTTATATCGTTGCATTTGTTTTCTTGCGTTGACTCTTTGGTCGATGCGAGCTTGTATGCAGGCCAAAATTTGGCTCCGATGTAATATGGTTTCGATATTTCTCTGTTCGTTAAAGTGAGCATGTCGGGTGTTTAAGTTGAGTTAAGTGAAGCATACCGTGAAAAGGGGATTGTAGCTTCGTGTGAAATATAACATGCAATAATGAATGGGCCGCCGGAGAGCTTCAGAAAATGAGAAAGAGTGAGAGAAAGGGAGCGGGAGAGTAGAGAGACAGAGTGAAAGTGTGTGTGAGAGATGTTTAATGCGTTTGGTAAGTGGTTGATCGAAGTACCCTCAACATCAACTCTCACTTTGAATCATAAATACCCAAACTGTTTGTGTTTGTGTTTGTGTTTGTGTGTGTGTGATGCACTTCTCACATGGGTTCGATGTTGGATGCTGTTGAACCACTCGATAAATATATTAACAGCAACATACATTTTGCCGTTTTGGTTTGCCACACCGCTCACTTACACACCCAAACCCGCTGTTGTATACACATGAAACTGTCGCCGAGACCAAAAGACATCGACGGGTTGCACACAGAACCAACAATATAATAAGCCTGCACGACAAATAACCGAATATTGATGTATTGAAGCTTGAAATATTTCGCATTTGACACAAAATCCAATTCGTTGTCTGGGTGAAAACGGAGAATTACATTTTTGTGTGGATGCAAGCTGTTTGATTTTGGCAATGAGTCCATTTCCAGCGACCTTACATAATGTTCATTCTAGCAAATGAAAAAAAGATCATATTGACATTTGATATGGATTTGTCTTGCCTGTGCCGTCTATTTACTTTACTATTTACTATTACTTTACCGTGAAATTCTCCGTATATTCGGTAAATGTCCTCCATTTTGTGCGAATAATTCAATTTTAAAGTCGTTTTGAATCTATAAATCAATTGTGAAAACAGTTGAATTGTTGAATATTCGAACTGTGCCCACTGTACACAGAAAATTTCCATTCCATCAATTAGAATGCGACATGTGTTTCGTTTGCTTGTTCGATATTCCGTTGATGTCAGTCAACAACACGCAGACACACATTCACATTTGGCATGGAAATCATGCGAATTTGTAAAACAAAATGATATATCCGATACTATAAAATGTCGTGCGACATTTCAAATCCAAAAATTCGATTTTCGCTCGGTGTTTGATAATTGAGATTCTCGGAACACGTGAATGCAAAAAAAGAACCCTAAAGAAACACGCACACACGCTATTCCAAAATTTCAAATCAAAATATTTAGCATGTGAATTTTGTGGCCAACAATGAACAATGTGTGCAACGATTATAATTTATTTATTTCAATCAATTTTTGAGAATAGACTGGAGACAAATTTGATAAATGCATGTATTTGCATATTTGCATGTATATTTTTGGTGTTGGCACATTTCATCTGTGAAAATGATGAACGACCTTAAAACAGGGAATGAACGGCTATAGAGGGAAAAAGCATTGCCAAACAGAAGCATGCAGCAGCAGCAGCAGCTCACACGACAATCTGTAAAATGCAAAATAGTGAAATCAGTTTAAAATTAATACATGTAATTTACATTCGATGTCATTTTGTTGAAACATTTCTAATGTTTTTGCCGGTTTGTGCCATACTGTGGTGCATATCGTGAACTGTGTTCGGTATACGCGCCATCGGGTGATAACCGATGATATGCTCGCATTTAAATCGAGTCAAAAAGAAAACCCATTCCAAATGACAATCATATTTCGTATATCCATGAAATATTTGTGCCAGTGGGTTTCATCGCAACACTCAACGGTGAAAGATGAATTTGGGTTTTGCATTCAAGTATGCCGTGCACGGGCGCATTCACTCACACTCAAACGACCTACACATAGAAATGATAACAGACTGCATAACGACCGGCTAGAAATGGCTTGTCTTAACTTTCATGATGATGTCGTCTTCAATCTCTAGTTTAACCGCTGAAATCATGATCAAACGGTGTGACTTGATTGTATAATTAACATAACAAAGTGAACGTGAGGTTTTTGCGCTTCACAGCAAAATTGGCACTGTCGCAACAGCCACTTCATTTTCAAGGAGGCCGCTACGTGGCATCAGAAAAATTTATATACAATGAAGCAGAGCGGGAGGAAGACAAAGGGCTGACAAATTATTGTCTCAAGACGAAACAATGTGCAAACATCGAAAAATACTTTCTATCGACACGAAATGGAAAGTAAGCATCCAACTAAAATTGGTTAAATCTGTGTGCGTGCAATAAATTCTCTTTGGATTACATGGTCCGTGTCAATTATACGATCACAAATAATTTGTATCGTTAAACCATAAAACCGACAACGATACAACCAACTGTATTGTATATAATATGGTATATAGTTATAACACGTGCGCCATATAGTTGGCAGTTGTGCACACGAAAATATGCAAAATTATACAAAGTACGGAGCAACCGGTGACAAAGACTTAACGATGCGATACAATAAATGTATTTTATAGTCATGTACTCATATACCTTTTCGCAAACTTGTCTCACACTTACCCCGATGGTTCGAATATAGACTCCCTGAGTCACAAGTTCATTTTCTATTAAATGCTATCCATGAATTCAAGAGAATCTGCTATGCAACTGAAACATCGTTATTCTGTAAATAATTTGTCACAAATTATGCCACTGGAATATTTGAATTCGAGTTTTGCACCAGTGTGTTTTTTTATTACCATAGTAACTGAGACTTACATTATAGTATATGTTCAAGGAGCAACATCATTTATGATGGAGTGCGTACATTATACACACAAATTGAAAATACATTTGCAGCGCAAAATTCATAAATTAAATACAAAGAGACTGCGAATCAAACATAAAATCGAGGAAGAAAAAAACATTGCGTAAAATGTTCGCGTGAATTTTATTTTATTTTTATGATACAACCGCTGGTTTTCCATATTTAATAAACGAATTACATTCGAAATTACAAAGATAAAACGAAGTGACAAACACTAGAGTAAAGACGTCGACTTAGGTTTGTTTTTTTTTTTTTAAATATTGAATGAAAATGTTGATTAAAAATATAACATATATATAAAAATTATGTAAAAATAAATGAATGTGATGCTTCTTCATTTCTCGATAGTAATCAGCCGTTGTTATTAAGCTCATCATGTGATTGAGCTTCCCCAACGGCGCCGTGTACGTAAGCTTCGAGTAGTAGACCATAAATAGTTAAGACAACACCGAGTTCCGTGCACCACAGAATGCGGCCATACTTGGTTAAAAGTTTAACACACTTTTCCATCAAAATGTCGAATTTTTCTCTTTCGATGAAATCAATGTCCGTTGTAAGGTTGCACCGAATAATATACTGAAAATCGGGATCTTTTCGGAATTCAATGACATCATCTGTTGATGGATGTTTGTGTTTACAACATTCACACACGCAATTGAGTTCGATGAGCTTTTCAATCGATGAATCATTCCATTGGAATTTAAAGTAGGAAATTAAGAGGTCTTCACCAGCGTGAATCGGACGAAGTGCATAGTAAATTGTATCACCATCATGATCAACCAAATGAACATTCGGCACACAACTGTGATTGAAATATCCCAACAAAACACCGACCTGAGAGTACAATCTGCGATATTCCTTTTCGCCATTCGGCTTGACAATGGGTTTCGTAGCCACATACGTTTGACGCAAATTCACTTGAACATGCTGCCCAATGAGGTGCATCAAGAAGCGTCGGTGTTTCTTTGATGCAAACACTATGCTCACCTAAATGTGATAAAAAATATGGTGAATTAAATTTATTAAACTGTACATTCAATCAAAAATTATGTTGAAATTTGATTTAAGTGAATAGATCACCTGTGGAATTTCCAGCAAAATTTTGTACACACAGAATACAATTGGAAGAAACTGTTTATCTCTTGTGTCACTTGAGTTTTTGGCCTGCTTCAAGAATGCCCGATACTTTGAACGGTTATCATCAAGTGCGCTGGGTATTTCCAATGGATCACTGTTGATGCTGTGCTCTACAAAGTGCATCATCTCGTCAGCATTCGAAAACATATTCATGGCAATGAAGAATGTGCGCAACTCTTGCATTAAATAATTGTTGTAATTGCTGTACAATGACGTTTTCATGCCACATTCGTACTTGTGCAGACAATTGCCGTTACCTAGGTTTAATCACAGAGAAGAATGGAAATTAATCAGTAAGTAATGGAAAAATAATCGAATAAAGAATGGATTGCATTTCTACCTTTGTCGTTGCATTCACAGCAAATCATTGTATTTGTGCATTTTTTGCATGGCACCAGGTTGGTATTGCGTTTCAAACAAATGTTACACTGCCATCCGTAGATCACAAACGATGTTTTCGTAAATGCTTTGTCAACAGCAACAATTTGGCCGACATCAATGTTTTGTTTCGCCACCACCGTTCGATAATTTTTACCAGCCAGTTCGATTTTGATGGCATTTGACAGACTGGAAAATCTTTCATCGGCTGTATAATTCAATTGCGGTTCATGAACGTTAACTTGAAATCCGTTTGCGATGTATTTCAAGCAACTCATTTTCCGCTTCTCCAATTCCGAGAACAATTGCTTGGGATAATTATTCTCTTTTGCCAATTGTATGTCAACCAAGCATTGCTCATACATACGCATGTTGAAAAAACAAGCCGAACGAAATGCATAAGAAAAACCGAGACACGATGAACCATTTTCAGCAAAGCACAATGATTCATTGCACTTTAAAATCGCCGATTCCCAATCACCATCTTCAAAATAAATTTTTGCCGATTTTTGTTTTTTCGATGATGTTGCGTCACACTTTGCATGAAGAGATTTTATCTTTTTATTCACATTTATTTCGGAGCGCACATCTTTGTAGGTATCATCCAAATTTCGACCGAAACCACACAAATTTACGTACAACGCATTTTTATGTTTCGACTCTTTTTGCCACATTTTTACATGCTGTATTACACTTTTTGAATCGATGCGATTAAAATTGTGATGGAATTAAAGCGATTTTGGTTTTAAAAAAAATTGTACTTTTTTTTTCTTTAAACAAGAAGTAGACGCAATTAACGATTGATCGAACAACACAGCTGTCAAACCGTTTTCGATTGGGATTTTCAAAATGTCGTTCATCACACACAGCCGAGTGACTGATGTCTTGGCTCAAATCGCAACATCGACAGTTTTGAGCGTGTGCGTGTGTTTATAGTTTTGTTGTTGTCCTCAATTCACCGCCGACATAGTTCGTTCCTTTTTCAACTTACACTTTTAAATATGGCTCACACAAAACCACTCGATGTTGTAGTGTATACATGTATTATCTTGTTAATACGAATAAGAACAAAAATTTCCATTGAGTCAATTCTACAGAATTGGATCAATGTATTCGTTATGATGACCGTGACAACAGCAATTTTTTTATGTGTTTCAACCTTTATTTATTGAATGAACGGGAAAAATAAACATTTTTGAATATAACAAATTTTTGATTTCAATATACATATCATACTGGTAATTTTGGAACTTATTCTTTTTCAATTCGTCTATATTAATTTGAGAACTTTTAAGTCGATCGGGCTCGTTTATTTTATTAGATTGTTTACTTTCATTTCAATAATACAGCTCCACATAATGGTTTTCAATGAAACTGTGCTACAGCGGCAAAAAAAATCGAAGAAAGTTGTCCGGTTAATGCAAAGAAAAGTAATAAACATAAAAATAAATAAGATAAAGAAATGAAAAAAATTATCTGAACTTTTTACTTTCAGTTCTAGTATACAATGTATGGCCTGTTATATTTTGCCATTTTTGTTTCAAAATAGATTTGACATTGTCAGCATCAACTTGACAAAAAAAAGAAAAATGGTCAGCAATATTCTACCTGCCGCAATGGCCGCGTGAGTATACTTCAATGTAATTAGACTAATGAGTATCTGAAGTTTTTATAAAAAGGGATAAGATGATCAAGTTATATTCAGTTTGGTTTGAATGTTCAACTTCATTCTGTAGTCATAACATTTTAACTTAAAAGTATTTGGCAGCAAAACATTTCTTTAATCATTTACTTTTAAAACAAAATTTTCGACGTACAATCAGACATTTAGGTGAGTGGTAAATTTAAGTTTATTTAGTGAAACTGTTTTCAATTGAATTAGTTTTAATAGAAACAACGGTAAATATTTTTTTTACAAAAAGTAATGATTAATTGCATCTCAGTTTGTTATCTTTTAATAATAAAGTAACGTTAAAGACAATTACAATTTATTTACAAATTAAAATAGTTGAATATTTAAATTTTTAATAATCTTCTCTTTCAAATTATTTTTTGTCAGTACATGAAAAAAAACTAACAAAAAATGTGTTTCCTTTATCTATTTTTTTCAATTTAGCAGAAACTTTCTGAGGAATCATGGCGAGCAAAATAGTTCTGACGGACCTGAATTTCGATTGTCTTGAAGGATTGTTGAAGTACTTGAGTCTCGGTGATTTATTGAAATTGGCCGATTCAAATGCTACACTTCATCAATTTGTGAAAATAATATTGATTCAAAAATATGGAACATCACTGGTGCTTGGCTATCATCGTTTTCAGCGTTATCTCTGTACGTGCAATAACGATTTGGCCATCGACAACTTAAAAATGAGTTTACAGTTGTTTCGATGCTTCGGAAGTCAAATATCTCATTTAAGTCTTACGTTCAAAGAAAAATTCGAGAAAAATGGAAATGCATGGAATAATCATCTTATTGATTACATCAATACATATTGTACTGAATCGTTGCAAACACTTGAATTAAATGGAATTCAAAAAATCGTTCCATATCATCTCAAGAAGCCATTTCCAAATGTGGAAAATGTTTATATTGAAGATTGTTTCTTCAATGATCTGGATGAACGAAATTCGATTTGTAGCTTATTTCCGAAATTGACGAATCTCACGCTGGTATACAAATGGATGGAAGATGGGAATAGCAAATATGATCCACGTATTCATGGTACATTCAAATTCATAGCGAAACACTATCCATTTTTGGAGTGTTTTCAATTTGGTGTATGCTTTGGATTCCACACTTTTAAAACGGACTTGATAAAGAAAAGTCTATTGCATGCAATCCGTTTGAATCCCCAATTAAAAGTGTTAGATATTTCCATTACAAAGTGTCCATTGGTGACATTAGGCGATTTGCAAAAAGTTAGCAATTCTCTTCAGTGTCTCGAACATCTGAAATTAGTGGTAAGTGACATATCCTTCGATATAGTTCTCAACGAAGAGATACATTTGAAAAGCCTAGAGTGTCTTGATTTTACCTTTGGTGTTTATAGATTGCAACCAATTCGGTTTGTCAGTGATAAGCTTTGGAAAATGGTTCTCACCTCGAATAGAATATTCGACGAACAAGGCTATGAATTTATTGAAAAACATCCGACAGTAACAGATCTTAGTATTGAATACATTGGATTACGGAACAATGTTAACATGTATAGGCTTGCAAAAGCATTGCCAAAACTTGAACAGTTAAATTTTGGTTGGTATGTTAAGGTTGGAATCGATGATATTATAAATTCATTGGCTGAGTTTATATCGCTCAAAAGAATCACATTTTTTCAAGATGACATTAAACATGATAAATATACAAAATTTTCGACATTTTGTACGAAGAATCAATGGTCTGTATCAACTACTTTCAATGATTATTACACCTCGAATATTATTACTTTAGATCGAAAAATATAAAAAAAAAAACAGAACTAAATTCGATATTTTATATAATGAACGTTTAAATAGGATTTATTAACACCAAATTATAAAAAAATGTAAATCTGTCTGTTTTTTCATTTTTCAGTTTTGTTTTCAAAAAAAATTGGAGAAAGAAAGAAAAAGGTAAAAAATTGATCAGATTTTGTAACCGGACAAATTTTTAAATTTTGGAATCGCTCTTTTGGATTTAGAGTTGCTAAAAGAACTGAACGCAGCTCAATAAAATAATTCATGATATAAAACCAAATCGTTACACGTCTTTTAAAGTTGAAATTAATCCCTATAATAAAAACTAATCAAAAATTAAAAAAAAGATATTTCTGCAAGTGTGATGATAAAAGTTTCAAGGTTCGTCCTTGAAGTTCACTAGAAAATATGAGCTCTATTTAGATAATATTTCTACACTAAAAAAACTACTCAAAACAAATTATTTACAATAAAATTGTTAAGGAATTGTACAATATTAAAATAGTATCATATAATTTTTTAATAAATAAATATTCCATTGTTCATTTATAATTTTCTAGATTTATTTGTCGATTAAATATTACGAATGAATTGTTTGTTGATTTATTTTGTTGGAATCGTAAGTATGAATAACGGATAAATATTTATCTCTACGCTCATTGATCTGGCATGATGGTCTGAGTGAATCAAATCGTAATCAGAGAAAAGATGTGAAGCCCAGAGATACGTTCGCAAATGATTTTTTGCGTCAAATTTTATAAACGGATTAAAATGCTGTTTGGAATGGACTTTTTTAAATAATATTTAAATGATGTGTTTCCAACTGTCATTTATACCGCATCTCATCGCAACACAACTAAATACGTTGTCGCTATTATGACAGAAGGCACCAGTACATACGCACACTCAATGTGCATTCTCTTATATTTTACATATTTCTTCACCAGATGATTAACTGTCTTGTGTATGTGGTAGTTGCCTTCGCATATTTGTTGTTATTCTGTATTCTGAGTTGCCGCCTTCCACAGATTAATTTGTTTATATTAATATACATCAATCGTTCTGTCATTTTTCTAGTTTATTTATATCTTTCGATCCAATTTTTTTTTATATTCCCATAATAAAAAATGTAACAGTGTATGAACTTAGCTCTTGGTCAAGCCAAGATAAAGGTTTTTTGATTCGCCGATAAGGCATATATTCCATATAAATATTTCATATTCAAAATTAGATACTTTTTTGTCATTTCATATTTATGTTTTAGAATAATTGCCGTGACCATCGTTTATTACTTTTTTCTTTGAAAGAAATAGTTCTTAATAGTAATGAATAGCTCACGTAAGTTTAAGTGTAAAGTTAATTGGGGTCCGAAAAATAGCCAAACAATTTGCCAGTGACAGATCATTAATTTGTAAAAAAAATCAGTTGAAATAAGAGATGCTCACATTGATGGTTCTGGATATGAGTGGCAATTGAAGTGCTACTTTAGTTTTTTTTTATTTTGAAATTATATCGTTTTTATAACTTAAACTGTATGTTATCTATTTATAAGTGAAATCAAATCTCACTCGAAATCGAATTGACTTTTCACAATACATACTTTACAATGCTTTTAAAACAATCGATTTGTTTGATAATACATGACTTTGATATCAAAATGTATCATGATATTTGTGGTTGTTCTCATAAAACCGATACGTGTCATTTGACAACGAAAAGACTACGACCATTTTGGCTTAATCACACATAAATGGCACTGGTGTATATTAATTCCTATGTCTATATACAATCACACCAATTGTGTAATTTTATTCACAAAACCATATTTGTGTACTTATTACAACAATTATTAACCAAGTGTTTTCGGTTATGGTTATGGTGCGTGATTTATTTAAAAAAAAAAATGTTTAAAACAAATATATAAATACAAATGATTGACATTAATAAATAAAGCAAAAAAAGTCACTTGGTATTCAATAGAATAAATTACAGCTGATTTGGCAACCTTTTTGAAAAATAGAAAATAATGTATATGAAATGGATAAATCCGAATACAATGTTATCTGTATAATCACCATGTGCCATAAGACCAGGTACAACATACACTGTTCAATATAAATTTGTTTAGTCTGTGCCATTCATTAAATAGTGGATTCAATATTATTAGTTCGATTTTAGTTATTTTTCATCATTCATGTCGTTTGAATACCATCTTCTTCATTTTATAACCATGAAAACGAAAAGGTTTTATCAGATTTTTTTCCAATACTAAAAAGTCAGCATCGTTGATATTGCTGATATGAAATTGTGCGTTAAAAATGGAACAATTAAAAAAAATCGTGTTTTTTTTATTTCAGGTCAAAATTTAGTAAACCAAGATGAGTCGGTGGATTCAGTCGATAGTGAAAATGTTCAACCAGCGCCGATACCATATCCAAAGCGTGTATTTTTCATCATCGGTAATGAATTCTGTGAACGATTCAATTACTTTGGAATGAAAGGTAAACATCGATGGAAGTGAACAGTAACCGAAGTGTAAATAACTCAATTTTCATCTTTTACAGCAATTTTAGTTCTCTACATAACCGAAAAACTGAATAAAGATGACAATTTTGCGACGGTACAATTCCACGCGTTCAGTATGTTGGTCTATTTTGCAAACGTATTTGGTGGCATTTTATGTGACAATTGGTTGGGCAAATTCAAGACAATTATCTATTTATCGATGGTTTATTGTATTGGGAGTGTAGTCATGGCCGTTGGTGCAGTTCCACATATCAATGTCTCAGCAGAAAATCTTATGTACATTGGACTGTTTCTCATTGCTTTTGGAAGTGGTGGAATCAAGCCTTGTGTGTCGGCATTTGCTGGCGATCAATTTAAACTTCCCGAACAAGCAATCTATTTGGCACAATTCTTTTCAATGTTTTATGTTTCTATAAATGCTGGTTCATTTATTTCAATTACCGTTACACCGGTGTTAAGAGCAAAAGTCCATTGTTTTGGGGATAATGATTGCTATTCGCTTGCATTTGGACTTCCGGCCCTTTTGATGGTCATAGCAATTGGTAAATAAACAATTATCCAATTCAGGAAGTACAAACTCAAATAAATGTTTGAATTTCAGGGCTCTTTTTGTTCGGTAAAAAGTGGTACACAATCAATTCACCATGTGGAATGTCAATGCTTCAGGTTATCAAATGTATCATGGTAAGAGAATTGTGATTTTTATAATTGACGGGAAATACTAATGATTACCGTTTTCAAAAGAATGGAATCATCACTAAAAGACGTGAGAGTGCAACTAATCCACGTGAACATTATCTCGACTATTCAGTCAAAAAATTCGGCCAACAATTGGTGAACGACACAAAATCTTTATTGAACTTGATAGTTTTGTTTTTGCCATTGTCAATGTTTTGGGCACTGAACGATCAGCAAGGTTCGCGATGGGTTATTCAGGCCAACAATATGAATGGTGACCTTGGATTCTATACAATTTTGCCGGATCAAATGCAATCGTCGGGTCCAATTTTACTGTTACTGTTTGCTCCATTGTTCGATTATTGTTTTTATCCATTATTAGGTAAAATTGGTTTGCATCGACCGCTACAGAAAATTTCAATGAGCGGCTTCTTAGCGGCGATTGCAATTTTACTATCAGCATTTGTTGAGTGGAAAATCCAAGTTGAACCAAAGAAATCATTGTGTATTTTATGGCAGATACCCCAAATTGCTGTCATGAATATGGCTGAGGTAATGTTTTATGTGACGGGCTTAGCATTTGCATATGAACAAGCACCCAAGGATATGAAATCGATGGTACAATCGTTTTGGCTTTTAACCATCGGTTTGGGCAATGCAATTATTGTAATTGTAACAGAATTAAATATGTTCACTTCGCAGGTAAATGAATTTATTTTTTTCGCTTGTTCGATGGTTGTTGCCATTATTATTTTTATAATTCTTGCTCATAAATATAAACCTATCACGACTTTGAAAGAATGAA